AGAGCCTGGAGCAGGGTCAGGCAGCAGCGTTGGAATGGCCAGATGAGTAATTCTGGTCTGCCATCACTCGCTGCATCACCGCTGCTGGGATTTCTTCCCTGATTTTTTTGGTTTTTTTGTTGAAGCAGACAAAGAGGGTGCTGGAGGCACAACGGCTGCGGGGGCCCTGGCTGACCTGACCTGCTCTAAAATAAAACAGCAAGGCTTCAATTGCTGCTGTCCAGGGATTCTCCTTCCCCTCTTCRCCATCCAGCATCAAACCTTTACTGGTGGGACACAGCAGGGCCGGAGCTCACTGCAGTAAGAAGTTCCAGTCTCAAAAAAACACCCCAAAAATGCCAGGAGCCTGAAATTACCCCTTCTCTGGGCTGCCTTGGCAAAGCAGGATGATGGGGACCCCCTCCCCCTGCTCTCTCCTGGCCAGGGTGGGGTTTCATGAGCTCGGGGAGGCAGATCCTGGACAAACAGCGTGGCTGTGCCAGCTGCAGCAGGTCCTGGCTCGCCGCATTCCTGCGCCGTGCCCCAGCGCCGTCCGGGGACACAGCGGGGACAGAGGGGACAGCCGGCCCAGGGCACCCAGCCATGTCACCAGGGACACAGCCACACCACCAGGGACACAGCATGTCACCAGGGACACAGCTATGTCACCAGGGACGCAGCCACACCACCAGGGACCCAGCCATGTCACCAAGGACCCAGCCATGTCACCAGGGACACAGCCACATCACCAGAGCACCCACCCACAGGGTACCCAGGGCACCCAGCCCCGTCATCAGGGACCCAGTCCCACCACCAAGAACCCAGCCATGTCACCAGGGACACAGCAATGTCACCAGGGACCCAGCCACAGGGTATCCAACCATGTCACCAGGGACCCAGTCATGTCACCAAGTACCCAGCGATGTCACCAAGGACCCAGCCATGTCACCAGGTGTCCCCCTGTCCCATCACCAGGGACCCAGCCATATCACCAAGGATCCAGCCATGTCACCAGAGCATCCAGCCATGTCACCAAGCACCCAGCCATGTCACCAGAGCATCCAGCCATGTCACCAAGCACCCAGCCATGTCACCAGGTGTCCCCTCTGCCATCCAACTGCCCCTGCACCCACCCAGTGCGACGGTGGTCCTTTGGCCGTGTCAAGGTCGATGTTTTTTTTGAGTTTTGTTTTGGGGAACTCGCCCTAGCTCAGCACAGAAATCCCTCCTGGCTGTTGAGCACGGAAGGAATGCAGGGCTGATCCTGCTCTCGTCCTCCTCACGGGGACAAAGTGTCCCCAGCAAAGCAAAGCAAAGCAAAGCAAAGCAAAGCAAAGCAAAGCAAAGCAAAGCACCCTGGCGTGATGCAGCTGAGATTCCTCACTGGCACAGAGCAGCTCTGGCTGSCCCTGGATCCTTGGAAATRTCCAAGGCCAGGCTGGACAGGGCTTGGAGCACCCTGGGAYRGCAGAAARTGTCCCTGTCCCTTCCTCAACCATTCCACCAACCCACAACTGGGCAGGCAGCAGGATCCTYGCCCTGCCCAGAAATCCCTTCCAGCACCTCTGACCCAGGGCTGGGCACTGCCCTCTGCCCCGGGGCTGAAATGTGGMAACGGCAAGAATTTGTCCAAAAACAACACCAAAAACCAAGGAGGATCCCAGGCCAGAGCTGCCAATGCCAGGCACAAGCCACACTTTAAACCCGAACTCAAAACCCACCGTGTGAAAAATAAACAAAACCCAGGCTTGAGCTTGCTCAGCCACCCCAGCACAGATGTGTACCCCAAAAAAACAATTTCAGTCCAGGAATTTGATTCCATCAGCTCTGTGGCCTAGGCTGGTGGGTGCTCCTCAGTGTCACAGTTTTGGGGGAGAAAGGTTCCAATTTTGGGGGAGAAAGGTTCCAATTTTGGGGGAGAAAGGTTCCAATTTTGGGGGTTAAGGGTTCCAATTTTGGGGGGGAAGGATTCCAACTCAGAGTCTCTGAGCTGATCAGGGGCTGCTGATGCTCCAGCATGTAAAGGACTGAGCAACACAAGCTTTACCCCAATAAAGTCATCATTTTGGGGGTGAAAGGTTCCAATTTTGGGGATAAAGGGTTCCAATTTTGGGGATGAAGGGTTCCAATTTTGGGGGTAAAAGGCTCCAATTTTAGGGGTGAAGGGCTCCAGCTCAGGGTCTCTGAGCTGATCAGGGGTTGCTGATGCTCCAGTGTGTAAAGGACTGAGCAGCACAAGCCTTATCCCATCAGATTCACAATTTTTGGGGTGAAGGGTTCCAATTTTGGGGGTGAAGGGCTCCAGCTCAGGCTCTCCCAGCTGATCAAGGGCTGCTGATGCTGGAAACAAAGCACTGGAGGAACCTTCACGTGAGTGACCCCACTCACTCCCTGTCTCATCTGTACCTGGGGAATCATTTCCCTGGGGAATTCTGCTGTTTGCCAAACTCAATCCACAGAGCTGTTATGTTTAGTAACGTCTCAACTGGGGCTCATTTGATTCCAGTCATTAAAATTTAATATCAGCGTAAGCTGGGAGAAACCCGAGCTGATGACAGCAGAGAGAGAAGAGGGGGATGAAGTGCCCCAGCCTGGAAACTCCTGTGAGCAGCTCCTGCCGGTGCCTGGCACTTGTCCCTCGTGCTGAAGAACCCAACTCAGCCGTGTGAAGCTCAGCAYGAAGATTCTCCCAACTTTTAGCAGCTTTTTAAACAAAAAAAAGGCTCCTCGGAGAGGCAGCGATGGAATGAGAGCCGCTTGGGTTAAACTCCTGCTGAGGATGAGTTAGAGATGAGGTTCTTTTGCTCTGACAGCTTCACACGGGCTAAATCCCCGTTATTTCTCCTGTGGCACAGCTGGATCCGCAGCGATCCGTYGGGATGGCCATATAAGCACAGGCTCCAAACCACAGAAACGCCTTTCAGCTGCGCTGGATCTCACCAGAAAACTCAGAGCTGAATTCAGTGACCCCTCAAAGCCTCCTCCAGATGGGTTTGTGATAATCTGCTACACAAAACCAGTCCCTGCCCGGCTTTCCYGCACCCCCTGAACTCCAGATTCACCCTGGATCGTGGATCCATCCCCAAAATCGCATCTGAAATCCCTCCTGCAAACAAAGGAACCCRGCCAGGAGCAAAACTTAGAGCGGGAGAGGGCTCATCCATCCCAAAGCCAGGATTAGTCCCTCTGTGACCCGGGAAAGGGGCTGGGGAGGGACAGAGGAAACGCACAGATGGCWGTTTTCCAAAAGTTTAAGGAGGTTGTGGCCTTTTGGGGCAAGTTTGAGGGGAAARAAAAATACGTGGGAAGCTTCAAACGCAAGCTGCTTCCAAAGTCATCGGTTCCCAGCCTCCACCAGAGCCTTCAATGCATCTTCTTTATTAAAATCTGGACACAATGGGTCCAGAAGTGCCCACCTTTGTCAGGGCTCTGTTGGCAACTTGCCTGGAGCCCCGGGGCCGTGCCTAATTTGCATCTCATTTACACAGATGTTCATTAAAATTAATGCCTTAGGATATAATATCTGCCTGCGTTTGAGCCTTCTGGATGGACAGAGCGTGACCGCTCCTGGGGAGTCCCTGTCACCCCATCCTTCACCCCATTCCTCACCCCATCCTTCACCCCATTCYTCACCCCAGGGCCCTGCCAGCTCCTCTGCTCCACCCAGACACTCCTGGTTTGCAATCCAAGGAGGGCAAAAGTTGTGAGATTGTCTTAGGGAGAGAATTTATTGGGAAATAAATCTTGGGCAACCAYGAGAAGCCCCCTGAGCACGAGCCGGGCTTTTCCACAGCTCCTCCCGACACCACAGCRCTGCACAGAAATTTAACAAATGCTCTCCAAACTCCTCCCTCTCTCAGAGCTTCAATGGTCTCCATCCTTGCTCAGCCCACATAAAACTTCACCTTGGTTTTATTCYCTGTCTCACAGTTTATCTGTGGGGTTTTCAGTACCCGAGGATCCCAAAATGGATGTAAAACGTGACCCAGATGGAGGGGATGGTGAGCAGGAAGGGTGGGCCAGGCAGAGGCAGAGCTGAAGGGTGATCTGATCTGGACCAGGCTCTCAAATGATGCAAATTCCCAGCTCAGGGGGATCCAAACCCCGGTTTTCCTGCCCCAAAATCTCAATGTTGTCCACATCTACCAGCCCAAGAGGTGCTGGTATGTCAACACCACACATCCCCMRGAGAACAGGGATTTTCCTGCAAATCCYAGATCTTTTCTGCACCTTTCCACCAYAGACTATCAGGATCTCACACCCTCCAGAGCCAAAATCCMTTCCTCCTCCAAAATCTCAATGCCACCCACCTCTGCCAGCCCATGAGGCACTGGCACACCAACACATCCCCAGGAGAACAGGGATTTTCCTGCAAATCCCAGATTTTTTCTGCACCTTTCCACCACAGACCATCAAGTCCACCAGCAGATCTCACACCCTCCAGAATCAAAATCCCTTCCTCCTCCAAAATCTCAATGCCACCCATCTCTTCCAGCCCACAAGATGCTGGCATGCCAACACCACAAATACCCAGGAGAACAGGGATTTTCCTGCAAATCCCAAATTTTTCTGCACCTTTCCACCGTAGACTATGAGGATCTTGCACCCTCCAGAACCAAAATCCCTGCCTCCTCCAAAATCTCAATGCCACCCATCTCTTCCAGCCCACAAGATGCTGGCACGCCAACACTGCGCATCCCCAGGAAAACAGGGATTTTCCTGCCAATTTTCCTGCCAATCCCAGATTTTTTCTGCACCTTTCCACCTCAGACCATCAAGTCCACCAGCAGGATCTCACACCCTCCAGAGCACAGATATTTCAGCACAAACCCACTCACACTGTGGCCACAAACAACAGGGATGCCATGGCTTGAAACCCACAAGAAACCCGCAATGCCTTCAAACGCCGCGCAAAAAATGAAATGGCATCGAATAATAAAATTCAAAAAACAAACAATTCGAAATAATCATTCAAAAAAATAAATAGCAAGATTTGAACAATAAAACGGACTCAAACTGACCTTGAAGTCTGCCAGCTGCTGGTTGATGGTTTCCACCTCCGTCCCCACCACCCACTGCAGGGCCTCGCTCTCCTCGGCCGCYGTGGTCATGTGGCTCAGCTCCTTCAGGCGGCTGTAGAAATCCTCCACGCGGGCCAGCGTGGTCTCYACCTGCTCCTGCCGGTTCCTTCCCCTCTCTGTCAGCTTGCCACACTGCTTGCTCAGCGTCTCCAGCTCCCTTTTCAGCCCCAGCAGGTCGGGGCTGCCCTCCTCCTCCAGCATCTTCTTGCACTCGTCTTCGGAGGCGTCGATGTCGGCTTTGAGCCGCTGCAGTTTCCCAAGGAAGGCACGGATGTCCTCAGCCTGGGACTGGAGGCTGTCTGAGTCTCTCCCAGTGGGGCCCATGCTGTCCAGCTCATCATCCAGGTCAGCCAGCTGRGAGAACATCTCCCTGACCCTGCTGGTGAACTGGCCAATGCCTTCCAGCTTGTTTTCCATCAGCGCGCAGCACTCGTTCACCCTCTGCTTGATGGATCCCAGGTCCTGCTGAGCYGCCTGTGCTTGGCCCAAGAGCTGTGAGCAGTCAGATCCGGCTGGGGCATCTTCCACCAGACCCTGAGTGAGGTTCTTCAGATAATCCACTTGTGGCTCCAGGGCCTGCAGCACCTCCTGCTGYGCCCTGAGCTTCTCCAAGTTCTTATTGCTGCACGCTTGTGGCCCCAGGGCGTCGTAAATCTCCAGCTGGTGCTTCGCCCCTTCCAGCTTCTTCTCGATGTTCTTGAAGCTCTCCTGGAACTCCTTGAGCCTCTGGGACATTTCTTCTATGGAGCCAGTCTTGGTTTGAAGCTCCTCGGTGATGGCATCCATCCTCTGGTTGATGCCGGCCTTCTCGTCGCGGACGTCGTCCTCGTCCGTTTGGGATGCGTCGATCAGGATGTCAGCGGCGATGTTGAGCATCTCCAGCAGGGACCGGCGCTTCTCCACGTCGCTCAGCATGGCCCTGGACCTCAGCAGGGTGGCCTCTAGCTGTACAGGATCCAGGGTGACCTCCAGCTCTGCCATCCTGGCCTGGCACTCCTCCACCCAGGGCAGCAGGTCCTCGGCGTGCCGCTGGTACTTCTGAGCTTTCTGCAGGCAGTCTTTGAGTTTAGAGTGCCTGTCRGCAGCCTGCCTGCTCAGCTCCTCCCAGTGGCTCTTCAGGCTGACCAGTTGGTTCTGCAGGGTGGTTTTCTCCTCCCCAGGCTGGACTGAGAGCAGCAAAGATTCCCCCTCGGCCACGATCATCTCGTAGGAGCCGCTGTGCTGGTTGAGGCTCTTCTGGAACTCCTCCTGCTCCTGGATCTGGCTCTGCAGCCTGTCCAGTTTGGCGGAGATGGGCTGGCTCTGGGCTTGCTGGCACCTCCTGTCGTCCAGCCAGCTCCTGAGCTCGTCGAACATGTGCTGGAACTGCTGGGAGCTGGCGAGCGCGGTCTGCAGCCGGTTCATCCGGTCGGCTGCAACGGCAACGGAGAGGGGGAGGCGGCAATTAAACCGAAATCGAACGAAAAATCAATCCAATCCGATCAAATCAAATTAAAATCGTCTCAGATGCACCCACTGCGTTCTGATTTACCAGGAAGGAGCTTCCCACTGCATCCCTGGCCCCTTTCTGGTCACCGATTCATACATTTTTTAAGAGTGARAGGCGGTGATGATGCAGAAGTCTCAGCTCTCCTGACCCTCTCAGAAAGCAGAAGATGCATCCCAAGATCAGAGGGTGGCCATTGGGGCTTCCCCATGGTCCAGTTTGGATTTAGGAACCTGGTTTATTTTCCAAGCTTGTTGAAGAGTCACATCAGTGGGGCCAAACACCTCTACCCTCCCTCCAGGCTGAGCTATTTCTGGGGTTTGAACCCTCCCATGTTTGGTCCCGCATAAAAAAACCCTAAAAAATGATAAATGGTTCTTCCTTTATGATTTTTATAAACCCAGTGATGGCAGAGCAGTGGTGAGCTCAGCATCCCAACATCCCTCARACAAATTCTCCTCTCTCTCACCTGCCAGGTCCTCCAGGCCTTTGAGGGGCAGCGCCACTGTCTCCAGGCGTTTCCTCAGCTCATCCTTGAGGTACTGCTCCCCGATCAGGACAGAGAGCTCATCACACAGGCTCTGAGCCTCCGAGATCTCCTCCTCCAGCTGCTCCAGGTCCGAGCGGATCTCGCTGGTCTCCTCCAGCTGCTGTTTGACRGCCTCAGGCTGGGTGCTGACAGCAGACTGACCGCTCAGGCGCTGCCCCACCGCCTTCACCTTCTCCGAGAGGCCCTGCAGCAGCTCCTGGTACTGGGTGCTCTTCACGATGGCCTGGTCGATGTGGCTGGAGCGGGAGTTGAGGCGCTCTGTGAGCTCRGACCATTTCTGGTTGATCCCTTGGAGCTCATCCTGCACCTGGCTGGTGGATGGGGAAACATCTCCAGGCCCGCTCAGGATGCTCTGGGCCGCCTGGTTGAGCTGCTCGTGCTGCTGCCGGCGAGCTTCGAATTCCTTCAGCATAAACTGCAACAGAAACGAGGCACAAGTGTTTGCATAAAACTGACAGCTCTGAGTACACACAGTCAAAATAAACCAGAGCTCCAGGGGCTTCATCCAGCCCAGAAAACCAGCAGGAGGTGGGACAGCAGCTGGGCTGGGCAGCCTAGGATTTACTGTGACCTTGGAAGTGAAAAAGCTGAGMGGGGTGTGTGACCCCAGGACTTTGCTCCATCTCTTATTTGTGTTTTAACGCAGCATAAAGCACTGAGATGAGATGAAAATGGAATTATCTCCACTGGGGTTTTTTTGTGGCTGGTCAGAGCCATGTTAGGATGTGGMAGGAGGAGGAATGGCAGGCAGAGGGGCAGCACAGGCCGCGTTCGAAACGATTCCACTCTCCAGGAGGGGCCAAATGATTCACTGGTGACTCAACCCAGCGCGGGATGAGCTGAGCACGGCACCCTGAGTGAGTTCCCGGCAGAGGTTTGGGCTCAGCGGGGTTTGGAGGCTTTGGAACAGCAGCCATGAGGTCTCTGAACACTCTGAACGCTCAGCAGAGCAGAGGTTTGGGCTCAGCGGGGTTTGGAGGCTTTGGAAGAGCAGCCATGAGGTCCCTGAACACTCTGAGCGCTCAGCAGAGCGTCAGCCCCGAGCACATCCCATCGGGGTGAGACTCTCCCCTCCACCCCCAGCCCATCTCAGACACCCCCTCTCACCTGGACCTGCTGCTTCTGAGCATTCAGCATGTTGGGGTCGATGGAGAGCGGGCCCAGCACGCTCATCATCAGCTCCTTCTCCATCAGCCACGGCCGCAGTTGTGCCTCGGCCGCCTGGAACGCCGCCAGCTGCGTCGCCGACTCCTCCAGCTTCTGCTGCCGCGCYGCCGTGGCCTGGCTGGCCCTCTCCCACCTGCAATCTGAAACAMCACCTCTGTCAGCCAGGATCGAGCTCCTGGCCACCCCATCACTCCATCCCCGGGGTTATTTTCCCCTCGCCATGGTTTTCCCAATGGGAATTCTCCTCTGTTTCCCAATGTGACTCTGCTCACTCCCCGTCTAATCAGCCATTATCCAAATCTAGCAGCTCCATGGCCCTGAAAACTCCTGGAAAAAACCTCCCCAGCAGGATTTTTCTGTGCTCTGGTCACTATTGCTGGTCTAACCTAGGTCATCTCACACCCCTGACCCCATAAATGAAGATGGTCTCATGGGTATCCATCCTCACCCAGCGCACTCAGATCTCCAGGATGGAGAACTCYGTCAACACCTTCCTGCTGTTTCAAAGAAAACAATCTCTGGGCTTCCTTTTGAACACACAGCCTTGTTTAGTCAACACTTAATTACCCAGGATAGCCTCATTAATRACTGGAATTTTATATCAAGCAGTGAAGCTTTAAATCAAAATAATCAACCCGTGCCGCTAACACATTTTTYCCCCTTTTTGTTTTGAARAAAGCCATTTAAGGAGGCRAGGCTTTAAAACCCACATCCATCAYGGAGATCTCATTAATCACGACAGCRCTCAGCTCAGGAACACCTTCCACACCAGACAGCTCAGAGATAGGTTTGCTGTTTACTGAATATTAATTAGAAGTGACTCTGCTCTCTAGCGTGACTTTGGGATCGCCCCGCACTCCTGAGCCACGTCTGCTGTGATGTTTGGAGACAGAAGCCTCATTAAGTGCTCCAGGCACTTACTCAGGTCCTCCTGCATCTTCTTCCAGTTGGCTGCTTCTGGGGAATCTGGATATTTCTCCAGCAAGCCAGAGAGAGCTTCCTTCACCTTCTGGATCTTCCCAGAATTCTGTTCCAATTCAGCCAGAAACGCCTGGAAAAGAATGATTTGAACTTGCTCAGGTACAGGGCAAAAGAATCACTGAGCAAGGATGAAGCAGCAGCTACAAGGTGGAGTTGGACAACTTCTGCTCTTTAATTAAATCAATTTATATATTTAATTGAATAATCTCAATTATTAAATTAAATATTATCAATTAAATATTATAAATTTATTTAATGACATCAATTTATTTGCAATATTGTGAGCTAACCTGGCTGCAAGGGCAGGGAAAGGCTGGGAATTGCTTTCCCAGGAGATTTTGGAGTGACCCATTGTGGTGGTGCATCCTCCCCCCCCCCWCACTCTTTTCCAGGGTGCAGTGTGATCTGAGAAATGCCTGTTTAATATTATATTATTTAATATTATATTATGTTATATTATATTATGTTAATTATATTATATTAATTTTACTATATATAGTTTAATATTCTATAATATCATGCTGAGAAATGGTTTAATATCAAACTTGACTCTTGCTCATACCCTTGCCAGTGATTTTTTTTTGGGTGATCTCAAGCACACTCATTTGGGACACCAGGGCCCTAAATATTCTCTTTTTTTTTCAACCTGGCAGCAGCAGGTCTAAAAGCAAARGGGAACTTTTGGCTGCTGCTCCACGGATCTGTCTGGAATTCCTAAGCTGGGAATGCCCTTCTTTAACTCTCCTGCCTTATCCTGATCCTACTGGATAAGCCCAGCTCTGAGATCCTCTGGGACATGCACAGTCAAGGGATGGAACTAAATGATCCTTAAGKGCTGGTCCATGATTTTTGTGATTTAGGGTCATTTTATGATTCCAGAGGGGCCGTTTTATGATTTTATGATCCCAGAGGGTCAAGAGGAGCAGTCACCTTGTTGTGCTCAGCCTGGGCCCGCATCGTCTCCGTCTTGGTGGGCGAGGAGGAGGCGTCCAGCTCCGACAGCGCCTTCTCCTTGGACTCCAGCCAGCGGAGCACRGAGCTGGCCTCCTGCTGCACCTCCTGCAGCTGCTCCAGTGCAGCCGAGAGCTGCTGCAGGCGCTCCTGAAGCACTGCACCCAGCGCCTGGTGCCGCCGGCTCACCTCCGCCACGTCGCACTGGATCTCCGTCAGGTCTGTGCCAAAAACCCGCCTGGGGTCAGTGGTGTGGCCCCTGATCTCCACCTCTGACCATCAGGATCTAATGGGGTCAGAGGGGCCCCTGATCTCAATCCCAGACCACCCAGATCTAATGGGGTCAGCGGCGTGGCCCCTGATCTCAATCCCAGACCACCAGGATCTAATGGGGTCAGAGGGGCCCCTGATCTCCACCCTAAACCATCAGGATCTAATGGGGTCAGTGGTGTGGCCCCTGATCTCCACCCCTGACCACCAGGGTCTAATGGGGTCAGTATGGCCCCTGATCTCCACCCCTGACCATCAGGATCTAATGGGGTCACTGGCATGGCCCCTGATCTCCACCCTAAACCATCAGGATCTAATGGGGTCAGAGGGGCCCCTGATCTCCATCCCAAACCATCAGGATCTAATGGGGTCAGTGATGTGGCCTCTGATCTCAATCCCAGACCACCAGGATCTAATGGGGTCAGTGGTGTGGCTGTGCTCTCCACCCCAAACCATCAGGATCTAATGGGATCAGTGGCATGGCCCCTGATCTCCACCCTAAACCATCAGGATTTAATGAGGTCAGCGGTGTGGTCCCCGCTCTCCACCCCAAACCACCAGGATCTAATGAGGTCATTGTGGCCCCTGATCTCCACCCCAAACCACCAGGATCTAATGGGGTCAATGTGGCCTCTGATCTCAATCCCAAACCACCAGGATCTAATGAGGTCAGTATGGTCCCTGATCTCCACCCCAAACCACCAGGATCTAATGGGATCAGTGGCACAGCCCCCGCTCTCCACCCCAAACCACCAGGATCTAACCCAGCCTCAGATGAGGAGCAGGAGGCCACACTGTCCATCTGTCCACAGGTCATCACCATCTTTCCCACCACCAGAGATTCCCCATTGTTCCCTGCCCATACACGGTGACACTTTTCAAATCAACAAATTTGAACAAATCCCTCCATTTTTGTGAGCCTGACACGAGCTGAGACCCGCTTTCATAAAGCACAAGGTTAAATAATTTGGCACCGGGCTATAAAGCCATTTTTCCGCACCTATTATCTCGCTGAAACGGCGAAATGACGGCAGATAAGGGGCAATAATTAAAATTGCTCTCCAAACTGGAGGGCTGGATGTTGCTATAATCCCACAGAACCAATAAATTTAATTGCAGGCCTTAAAACCATCGCCCATTCATCAGCCCTTAACGCCACCTGACGAGGTGTCAGGGCACTGTCACTCCCCCAGGCTGCCCCTCTGTGTCCTTCAGTGTCACCTCCACCCTCCATCAGAACTCCCAAACATTGCCAAGCTCATTTTCCATCCCCTGGGATGGCAATGGTGCCACACTGAGGTTTGTGTCCCCAGGGAATGGGGACAAAAGGGGGACAGCTCACCTTTGCAGGTGTGGTACCCGTTCACGCTGCCTCCTGAGCCTCCTGGGGTGGGCAGAGCAGCACCTGGGCACAGGGGACGGGGACAAGGGACAGGAGGGATGAGAGGGATGAGACAGAAGTGTTAGGGATGAAGACAGCAAGGGATGAACTCTGTGACAATGTGACAAGGGCCACTGAGCACCGAGGCAGTGTCTCTGAGTGTCCACATGCCCAGYGCCRGGYGTTAATTCYRTTTGGAATTAATTCCWTTTCCATTCACYTCYCTCCTCCTGCTCCCCTCTGGATCAGAAAGAGCTGAAGTTYCTGGAGCTGGGCAGCTCTCCCAGCACCCCAACATCACCCAGACACCAGGCAGGACGTGGCTCCTGCAGTACCAGGGACCACCGGCCACTTCTCCACCCCTGGGACTACCCCGAGCATGATTTTGTGCATTATACCCAAAAAACTGCTAAAAGCATYCCCTGGAAGGATTAACTCCCCCATATCCTCCTTTTTTAATGGGATGAAACTGTTCAAACCCACCCTGTGGACACACTCTCTTTGCAGGATCCACCAATGTCCCTTCCCTGGACRCCAGATGTCACAACCAAAGGGAYTTTGGGTCATTTTCCATCTTTTCTGACCACATATTTTAAAGCTTTCATGGATTTACAGGGCTGCACCTTTGGTCACCCACAAGCCTCTCTGATTTCTCCCWATGATTTCCCAAAGAACTGCTCATGAACTCAATCCTAACAAACACACCCAGACYGTGAATTCCCATAAATTCCCATCCAGGAACTCGCTCTCACGGGCTGGAAAACATCTCTGAGCTGCCTTCCAAACGAACCAGACATAATCTCATTGCTTCAGTGGTTTGAAGCCAAAAGGGAGACCAGTAAATCACATCTGACTATRGCAGCCCTAAATGTCATCCAGATATGAAACCCAAATGCTGGGGCTCGATTAAAACATTCTGGCCCTGGAAAACGTCGCCAGGAGAAAGTAGGAGCTGCCTYATGAGTTCCAGCAGAGCAGGGATGTGGGTCCCCAAAGCAAACACAGGGTAATTCACAGCTCGTTAAGCTGAGACTAATTAAGCCAAGTTGGACTGATGTGGTAATGAAATGGAGTTGAGCCCCACCATACACAGATCACCGCAGCCCCTCTGAATTTGGATAAAAGGGTMAATTTGGATAAAATAACCCCATTTTTGGCTGGAGGCAAGCTCAGAGAGGATGCAGGGGTGGCAGCAGAGGTGTCCTCAGCAGAGCTGGCTGTCACTCACCTGCCTTGGGCGGGGTGTTGGGTGCCGTGATCTCCACGATCAGGTTCTCCAGGAGGGTCCCTCTGCGGCCGATCTCCTCCACCTGAGCCCCCTTCCCCTTCCATTCCTCCAGCAGGTCCTGCTCAAAAGCAAAGGTTGGGAGTGGAGGTCACACTGAGCCAGCCCCAGCCCTTCCCTCGTGGCCTGTCACCCCCCTGGTGACACGGTGACACAGTGACATGGGGACACRGCRCCCYRGGARGCAGCTCWGGGGTGTGGGTGTGACACAGCTATTTCTGTCGGGGGGGAWGATGACAGCGAGCAGCTCATCCCAAATAATGGCTCTGCTGAAGGGAACCTTCTCCCTCCCACCAGCCTGGGGACATCCCTCCCTTCCTCCCYCACCCACAGAGCCCAGCCTGGCTGAGCCCAACGGGCTGCGAGGGCTGCGGTGACTCAGCGGAGCCGCTCTGAGTCAAA